GGGCTGCTTCCCCCCTTCCCCCGGGGGACAGTGCTGGGCGGCCCAGCCACCCAGGAGTTGCCTGCTATAGCAGCAGGTTGGTCACCTTCAGAGAGGACAGTACAACCTCCCAGGCGACAACAAAGAGAAGGGCATCAGAGGAAGCAGGAGGGGAGCCCCGACACCCTAACCCCCAGCTTCACTGTCCGGGGAGGGGACCAGGCCCGGAGGAGAATGTCCTGCTGGTGGCCACACAGCCGCCACGGCAGGCCTTCCCCTCCGAACACACTGGGCTTCCGCCCAGAGCAGCTTAGGAAACAAGATAAATACACGCCAACCCCATCATCGGTGAGACTTGGACCCTGAGAACTAACCTCTGAAAGGAGGCGGCTTCTGCAAAGAGTGTACTGGGAATTTTTAAAATTGGGAATCTTTTTAACAGGAAATGAACACTGTGAGTGCCCGGTGGCTGGTGTGGGACCCGCCTCAACAGTTCCTTCCACAGGAGCCACGTCCAAACCATGAGTCCCCTGTCCTCCTAGGACGTGCTGCAGTCCTTTCCAACGTGTTCTCATAGCTGTTGTCTCACTCTTATTCCCACCAGGAGAAACGTGCAATGGGACCGTGTGGCCTCTACCACCAGCCTACACTCAGCTCCGAGGACACACCGGCTGACATTCCTGGGACATAAAACCTCCCCAGTTCTCCATCCCGATGGTCGCCATGGAGAAAGGCCCACCAGCCCCAACCAGCTCCCACTACCTCTCAGCCCCGCCCTCCAGCTGGTGACCCAGGGGCCAGTGTGGCCACAGCTAATCGCACTAAAGGGCTTCCTGGCTTCTGGACTCGGAGTTCTTACTTTATGTGATTCTCAAACAACGCATGACAAGGGAATTATTTTTCACCCCAATTTTCAGAAGACTAAAGATCAGACTGTCACGTGGCGGGAAGGAGAGAAATAAATAAATATTTACTATTTTCCAAGAAATAGGTGACCAAATGGAGAACGTAACCAAAGAACTGGAATGTATATGTTAAAATGAAGTGGACATTCTAGAACAACAACAACAAAGACAACCGAAATTAAAGATTCAACCACTGGAAGTCAAGACAGTAAAAACATTCTATCTGATGCACAGAAAGAAAAAGAAAGATTCAGGGGGAAATTATGGAATGTGGTAAAAATGTCTAATAAGAATATCTAGAGTCGCCGAACCGGTTTGGCTCAGTGGATAGAGTGTTGGCCTGCGGACTCGAGGGTCCCAGGTTCGATTCCGGTCGGGGGCATGTGCCTTAGTTGCGGGCACATCTCCACTGCGGGGCGTGCAGGAGGCAGCTGGTCGGTGTTTCTCTCTCATCGATGTTTCTAGCTCTCTGTCCCTCTCCCTTCTTCTCTGTAAGAAAATCAATAAAATATATTTTAAAAAAAAAATAGGAATAGGCTGAGAATCATACCAAGTAACTGTTTAAAAAAAAAAAAAAAAGAATATCTAGAGTCCTAGAAGGGAAAGAATGAATCAGACAGAAGCAACAAAAAGCTACTTGCTTTATATGCA